CACATACCAAACATCCATGCCTTGTATGGGATTCGAACCCACGATCCCGGCTTCCGAGCGAGGGAAGACAGTTCATGCCACAGACCGCTCGACCACCGTGACCAGGAAAGTCTCATGGACCCATTATTGAAAGGAACAGAACAAATGAAATATGTAAAGGTTAACATCTTCTGGTATCTGACGTCGTCTACTCGTCTGCTTGCTTCTTGCCTGTATGTTACTTGTCCTATTCTTCGACCCTGAAGATGGAAGAAGTACGTTTCTCCGAAACTTTACCGGACCGCACAGGATAACATACAAAAGTATAGTGCTTTTCATAATCACTGTTATAAGAACCTCATATATAACGAACCTACTAACTTTCATAGGTTCCGTTGTGCAGAGAGAAGAGGAAACTCTGTTCCTAGGAAATGTAGACATTGTTACTAGTAACTTTCATAGGATCCGTTGTGCAGAGAGAAGAGGAAACTCTGTTCCTAGGCAATGTAGTCATTGTTACTAGTAACTTTCATAGGATCCGTTGTGCAGAGAGAAGAGGAAACTCTGTTCCTAGGCAATGTAGACATTGTTACTAGTAACTTTCATAGGATCCGTTGTGCAGAGAGAAGAGGAAACTCTGTTCCTAGGCAATGTAGACATTGTTACTAGTAACTTTCATAGGTTCCGTTGTGCAGAGAGAAGAGGAAATGCTGTTCCTAGGCATATAGACATTGTTACTAGTAACTTTCATAGGATCCGTAGTGCAGAGAGAAGAGGAAACTCTGTTCCTAGGCATATAGACATTGTTAATATAGGCCTGGCTTCTTAATCTTCTTATCGGATTATAGGGCGCAATATACAGCGAGCATGTACAGTAGTATAATACTCACACACACAAACAGACACATGACTCCAGTTAGTCTACATTTCTCCTATCGTTACAACTCAGACATTTCACGCTTAAGAACTTTGGCCTTTTTCACTGTTCATTCATTCAAAACACGTTTTAAACATTAACTTCCCGGTTTCTCATTAGCGACGGTTTGATCTGACTCATAAATTTGGTTTTCTGAGACGTCGAGATAAGGAGAACAAATGCGCGTGATCTCTGATACACATGGAATGTCTTTTATATCTTGCAGGACTATTTGTGGCTTACGAATAATACCAGGAATACCTCGATACATTCGAATTTATCACGTGATACCTGTTGAAACCCCATACGAATTATTGGATTCTAATGAAATGTCGACGTCACTTTCTTTTTGTGGAATAACACCATAATGCATCTCACTTTCGTGATAGCTGTGTTGACTTCGATGTAGCACACTTCTTTTCAAGACCAATGGTAATAGAGAGGAACGTTTGTGGAAACATTCTCTCATGTTTGTGACTTCTGTCTACTAAGTTAGGCATTAAATTGCGCAATATGTAACTTTACCAGTTGATTTGTAGGTAAGGAAATCGGCGCAGTGCTCTGAGTGAAAGTAAGTTTGAATTGCATTGAAATATTTTAGTTCGAAAGGCACTGCATTTAAAGTTCAGGAATATTGGAGGGGGTAATGCTATGGAAATTCATTGCTTTCCATCATCATCATCATCATCATCATCATCATCATCATGGCATATTCATAATCACCACCTTCTTCTTCTTGTTCATCATAGATTAGGTCATGTGTGATCTGTTCTGTCCTCTTGAAGAATAAGCTGCTCCATCCATCTTAACTCTAGGCGTCCTATATTTCTTCTTAATTTGGGGTTGTCGCACCCATCACATTTGCTTATTACTTGCAGTGTCAAGTAGATTGTAAATTGACATTAATGGAAAAAAAAAAGGGGGTTGTGTGTTAGAATTTCGTTCGGAATCCTCCTGTCTTGCGTTCGTTGTGCCTGATATTTCCATTGTGTTCTGGATTTAAGAATTTTATTATTTAGAATAAAGATGTTCATCTCTTCCCTAATTTTAGTGTTTCTTATTTGGTCCTTCCTTGTGTAGCCTGCTACATTCCTCAAGAATCTCATTTCTGCAATTTCAGTTTTTGCTTCCCGTTTTTATTTTATTATACTCTGAATTTCGGACCTGTGTGTAATTGTAGCTACCGCCACGGCTTTATGAAATTGTACCTGTTTGTCTTTTATTATCATTTTATTCATTTTTCTTCATATTGTGCTGCATATTTGATTATTCTATATATTTTTATTTCTTAATTTCTGTTGATTGTTACTATAATTGTGTGCCCTAAGTAATTAGGGTTACTTACACGTTTAATTATGTTATTATTTATCATTATATTAGTCCTCAACTTCGTCATTCTTTTCACAGCCATTATCTTATCTACTGAAATCCTCAAATCATATAGCTGTATTATTCAGTGTCCATAGTGCTCCTTGTTGTTTATTTTCTTTATTTGTCACGATCACCTGATAATCAGCCAATAATATTGTGTTTGGAATTAAGTCCTTTGCTAAAATCTTTGATCACTTTCAGCTAGTCTTTGATGACTTTGTCAGTGTAAATATTAAATTGTATCCGTGATAAAGGACTTTCTTGCCGAATTCTTTTACTAACTTCTATCGGAGTATTACCATTTACTCTAACTCCACTTATAATTATTGTTATATTTTGCTGTATACTTTGGGCTGCTCATATTAAATGTATCGGAAATTCCTTTTCTGTTATTATTTTCCGTATTTTTATTGTAACCGAAACAAATGTTCTTACATAGTCTACGAAGAGCAAATACGCTTTTGTATTGACATGGTTTAGGGATTCGGAGGGTGGAGGGAGGTCTTCAGCAGTGTCTTGCTGCTACGAGTGGGAATGGTGGGGGACCCTAAACGATCCGTGCCAACTTCGACTTACAGTACGGATGATACCCCCTTAAAATATATGACTACATTCTTTTATATTCATTCCTGGTCATTGTCTATTGCAATATATTTGATCAAAAGTCGCTCCGGCGATACGTATAATAAAATCGGAATAAAGGACACATGCACAAGACGGTAGCTGCATCTCAGAATCCATAGGACATCAGAGGATTTCGAGAGGAAGGCTGTCGGATTGGAATTCGTAAAGTGAAAAATCGGGATATTCAGCGGGTTCAGGAAGGTGAGAGACTGGGCACTGTGGAAGTGTAGGCGCCCTCCGGAGCACGAAGACAATCGGACGTTGTGGAGGGATCGACCCCTTCCTAAACGGAAGAAAACCCTACTAGCCGTGCTGACGTAGAAAAAGTCGGATGTGGGAGCACCGGTTATTTTCCCCCCGCCATTTGGGTGGGGTGAGGGGGACTTTGGATGATGGAGATACACCTGGATCTACTGACACCTTAGCAGTGAACCGCTAGGGACGAACTGGCCTTAAGGAAGGAACGGTGGTATCTGCTGAAGAATAATTGTCGCAAGAGGAGGAACCGAACTACAAGATGACACGAGCAGAAACCCTCGGAAAAGAAGAAACGGTAATACAACTTTAGGTTATTCGGGACGAAGAACCTTAAGGAGGGAGCAATGTAACAGATTTGATTAAGACATTTTCCAGGCAACGAATCAGCAACACTTCCAAATATGTAACCTTAGAGGGAAAACTGTATTCTATGCGGTCTGCGCCAAGCAACAGCAGAACAACGGGGTTATACAATCCGTCCTAGGTAACGGCTCGGTAAACACATTTCCGCTTATCGGACCGTGCTATGCAACGCGGTGACGTAAACAACAATAGAACTTTGTTTGCTATGCGGTCTCTGCCGCGGCTATATAACGAGAGCTGTGAGCTGTAGGTTCAGAGCGTCCTGGAAGTAGGAGTACAGCAGAGTACAGGAAGTCAGCCTGTGAAAACTTCACGTGTCTATTGCAGACTTAATGTGTGTTGTAGTTCAGTGATAACTTGACGCTGATCAATCGTAACCCATTTTTTATTTGGGTGATTATAAATGACAGTGAACTTTATTTATAATTCATTTTCGGTAATTTTAAATTCAAAATTTTATATTTTGATATTACTGGAATTTTATCGTTATATATAATATCATATTCATTGTCTGGGACGTGCAATACGGTGTTTGTGTGGAAATTTCTGGATTCTGACAGGGCTAAGGAGTCTGGTCAAAACTCGTTATAATTGCCTGTGAATGAGGACCACTCAAGGGCCATAATGAGTGAGTTGCCTCCTTCAGATTTCTCCTAATGAGATGGAATGGCATGTATACCCCTAAGTCCGCACCGAGTAGAATTCGATTTTTTTGAATTCCCAGCGTGAGATGTACAAGCCATTTCCACGCTGCTAGTTTTTCACCATATTCTGAAGTATAGGGACGTGACCCTTGCTCGCTCCGAGACCCAGTTTGCAGATCAATTAATATATTGTAAATGTAAGCATTAACATACAATGAATTAACAGTGTGGTTTGGAGAATAATAAGTGAACCAACAGGAAGCTGGATCACCTCCCAGAATACCGCTTAATTTGGCACCGCTACCCTGAGTCGCATGCTAACCGACCCAGCTAGTTTCCCGTACCTGTACCAACCTTCCTCAGTTCGAGCTGTGAGAACAACTTGCAGAGGTCATCATGCACTCTCCTAAGGTAGAAACAGGTGTAGCAGCGATAGCACCATTCCGACTGAGCTGATATAACAAAGGCGGGTTGGAAAAGAGCAGTGTTAAACTTGAGTGCGATATTTATAGTTCCTGTATTAAAAATCCATTGCCAGGAAACGGATAGGGAAATCTTTGCAGAGGAATAGTCATTGCTTAGATCTGTTACATAGCAACGACTAGTGTAAGTAGATATTGAAGTTATTATTTATGTGTTATAATTACAGTAATCTTGAAAGTGTCATAATTAGTTGTAGTTACGAGTAGTGAATATCCAATAAATCGACTCGCCGATCCAAACCCGCGTCTTTAGTCACTAATACAGGTGACAATACTCTGCAATTTGACAATATATAACCTAACGGCAATTGGTATAATAGCAACCTACAGTGATATGATGAGAATTGTTTCCTTTTTCCGCAGTTCTGTGTGGCGTGGGTGTCGACGTCACCTTCCACCGTCACTCAGTGGGCATCTACATCATGTAAGAACCTTTTCACAATAAAATTACGATTACTTTAGCTTATCTGTAAATAATTTAATGTATATTTTTTATTTAAATTTGAGTGCACGAACTCCTTATGCAGCCTTGTAGGCTCGTGCTGTGGCAAGAGAAGGGAAACTGTAGGACACTGCTAGAAGTTATGTATTCTTCACTGTGTATGCTGACATTGCTGACTATTGCAGACCCACAAGACCGTAATCAATTATCATGTATTCACAAAGTAACATATGGTGTAATGTATTTTTGATGCTGGGGCCACGTGGTAGAGTAGTTGGTTGAGGCACTGCACTACAAGCTGGAAGGTCGCGGATTCGATTCCCGATTATGTCATTGGATTATTTAAAATTGAACTAATCCTTCCAGCTACACTATGGCCCCCGAGGTCGACTCAGCCTCTAACAGAAATGAGTACCAGAAGTCTTCCTGGGAGGTAAAGGGCGGCAGGCATGAAAGGTTGACAACTTCACCGCTGTCTGTGAGCCGATTGTTTGTAAAATGTGGGACCCTCGACGTCTCACAACCCTATGGGCCTCCACTACAGGGATAGCTTTACTTTTTACTGTGTACATTATGTTATGAAGTAGGCTTACGCCAGTGGCCCAGCAGCTCACGATCTGAGGCTGAACTAACGCTGAAGCTGCAGATTCGAATTCAGCCCAGAGAATTGATTACATAAAGAATATGCGTTTCCTTATCACCGTCTGCATTTTACTTTGGCCAGTATTTCGCAGTTTGGGGAAGCAGCCGTAATTTGCCTCCAGTCATACAAGTATAATTTCTGGAACTCATTTGGAGGTTTAAATAAATGAAAGAATTGCAGGATACAACAATATGACGAAATTCAATTTTGCAAGTATATTTTGTGGTTGGAATTAGACGGGCGATACCTGTCCGAATGCCTTCGACTCTTTGAAAGCTTTTGCAGTCCCAATCCTTTTATTTTCCCTCTTAGGCAGCTTTACGGCAGCTTCAGCAGAATGCTAATTCGAGGTTCTAATGAGCATTCCTGCTACCAATTCGTATACTCACCAAAGCAGTGACACTTCGGAATAGTAAATATTTGTAAGATTTGAAGTTTTCACGGCGGTGACTATGAAGAATGCCATCTTATTGTATGTGGATATAGATATAGTATAAACCGACGTTTCGGAGGAACATATTCCCTCCATCTTCAGGAGAGGAGGAAAAAGAAAAAATCCGCGAGGGAGGAACCAGCTGGAGCAGGGAAATATTTATATTCCTGTTATTTGTAGTTGTTAAATATGGTACTAATATTCCTCTGAGAACAAATTTCCTGCCCTCAAGAGGGTACTACAGAGAATATTTGCACCTAGGACAAATATCGAATCAAAGAACTCTGAACTTAGGAAACTAAATACATTTTCTTAGTAATGACGAGATATTTAAATCGAGGAGCTTTACTTTTAGCACGATTGATAAAGCAAGAAACAGAGTTTTGATGGTTCGGTTTCTTGCAAAGTGGCCGGTTGAAGAAGAACGAAAGAAACAGATGTTAACACAAATTTTACACAAAAATAGGGTTTCGTACTGTGTTTCAGCGTGCTTTGAGCTATCTGATATTATCCCCATGTCATATGGTACGAGGTCACTTCGGAGGCCCTCTAAACAACATAAGCTAATAGTGAAGCGACGTTAGTAACAAGCGTCCATCTGTACCAATTCTTATCCTCACAGCATATATCAGCTGTATAAAAATTCATAAACATCTCGCTATATTTATCACTCAAACTGAAACAACTGAGACTGGAAGTAACAGAGGTAAAGCTATCCCTGTAACAGGCCGTGGAAGTCCATAGAATTGTGAGACATAGAGGCTCCCACACCTTCTAGATAGTCGGCTCACAGATGGCGGTAATGTTGTCAGCCTTAAGGCCAGTCGCCCTTTACCCACAGGAAGATTCTTGTTACTCATCTCTGTTAGTCTTAGTCGACCCCGGGCCCGCCGGAAGTATTATGTCTGTTAAAAAATCCAGTTTCCTTTTCGGGAATAGAAACCGCGACCCTTTGGCTCGTAGCATAGTGCCTCACCCAACTATACTGCAACGAACTGACAAAATGTGTCTCCATGAAAATCCCATGGGGCTAGGCACTTGCTAACTGGAGCGCTGCATCCCCAGCCACAACTCTGCTAATTTATGTTGGCTACGACCAGCACAGCGAAACTGTAGGTGAATGCAGAAATCGGGCACTATTCTGAGGCAGTTTAATATACTGCATATCAATACACCATTTTTTCTCCTATATTCATATCGATATCAGCCCCGTGTTATTCCTGGAAACAACCTTAGACAGTTCAGTTTAGTTCACATCATATTCCTTTATTAGGGGGCACACGGTAGCGTGGTTGGTTGAGGCGCTATGCTACAAGCCAGAAGGTCGCGGGTTCAAGTCCCGATGAGGTCACTGGATTATTCAGGTGACCTAATCCTTCCAGCCGCACTATGGCCCTGGGGTTCACTCAGCCTCTAACAGAAATGAGTACCAGGAATTAATTAAATAATTTTCCTGGAGAGCTAAGCGCGGCCGGCGCGTAAGGCTGACAACCTTACCGCCATCTGTCAGCCGATTGTCTAGATAATGTGGGACCCTCAACGTCTCACAACCCAATGGGCCTTCACGGCCTGGTACAGGGATAGCTTTACTTACTTTACTCGAGCGTAAGTAGCCTGGATGCAGTGAAATATAAATGGATTATTCCGAATCTACCCAGAATCTGTAGACGATCACCAATCGAGAGAAAATGTTATGATGCACGTGGTACGAAGCCTATAAGCTGCTCAGAGAAGTGAAAACTGAAGTAGGAAGTGCCCCGGCATCGTCACTTGAGTCTATGCCATATAATTAAGTTTGGAGAGAAAGGGCTTACTGACTGATACCTGCTGTGTATCGACAGCGGAGCTTTGCCCGGGTTCACGTTGAATAAACAGCCGTCAGGTGCAGAGGCGTACCTGAACCGTTATATCTGTAACGATCCTCTGTTTGTTCGTAAGTTCTAAAAATGCATACCATGGAAATCGAAGTTTCATAATTGTCCTGACAAAAAGCCTCTATTGAACAGTGTCTCGAGGCTGATCAACACTGTTCATATCCTAAAGATAAGATGCATCCTTAGATTCAGCATCCAAAATTGTGTAATCATTGCTTGCTAGCATCCAAAATTGTGTAATCATTGCTTGCTGCCAATACATTGTATGTGATCTGTTAATTTTATTCTCTGTGTTTAATCAAACCAATAATAATAAGTGAAAACTAAGAATTATGAACCGTCTGACTGCGTAAATTTCTGAAGGTACATTTTACTATTCCTTTGTGGGGGGGGGGGATATCTCACCACTTTTTCAAACACCTTCAATCTGCGTTGATTAAGGGAGCAACTGAAACAATGCATCTAATTTCAGTTTTGGACACAAATAAGGTCAAAATATTCTGCAGTAAAAAGTACAAACACAAATTTCGTTACTACATGCAATAAATATATCTAGATCCACATATTTATACAGAACTGAATCTAGCTCAACTGTACCTCTGAATGTAATATGGGACCAAGTAGTTGATCGTAGTTTTTCTCAGACCTTTCCTTCCATTACTGATTCTGATAACAGTACCATCTAAACTTACTACATCTAAATCCTAACATTTACAAGGGCGGGGTACCGCCATTGCCACCATCGAAATCACAGTAAGTCTTAATGGGATCCCGTGTCATAGCCCAGGCGGTTAATTGCTGGCTTCCCACCCAGACGGCCCGTGTTCCATCCCAGGTCAGGTCGTTTGCGATTTGTGGTGGATAAAGTGGCACTGGGGCAGATTATGCGAGTACTTCGGCTTCCCTTGACAATTCTCATTCCATCAGCTGCTGCACATTCATCAACACATATCATCTGGGGCTGGTACAATAGGCGAAAAGCGGCCGACATGCTAAGTGGACTCAGTTTCACCCCACCCCAAGAGGGTAGATTTGCAGCTGTTGTTGTGCCAGAGGAATGGCTCGGCGGTTCTTACTGGAACCCTTGTGAGCACGGTATAATTTAGGGCCTAGATCTCCTGCACTGCGGACGTCGATAAATTTCGTACTTGATGAAATTGCTTCTAGGAATGTTGGCATCACTGATAGTAACTGGATTTATGATCATAATGGCTTGTCATCCCGGCTTGCTTGTTACCTTGGGGACATTGGTATGGGAGGAGAAAATGTGGGCACTCTATCAGTTCTCGTCTTTCATATCGCGATAAAGTAAATTTGAGGCTGAATCAGTATTACACCTTCTTCAGTTCTAACGCTCATGACTTCCAACTTCATACAAGTAAGACTTGAGGTTTTCAAGGCTGTGACTATGAAGAAAGCCGTCTTCTGGGATGTGGCGCCGTGTAGATATTGTGTTAACCGACGTTTCGGAGGAACGTATCGCCTAGATCTTCAGGGTAGAAGACAAGTAATCCACGAGTAAACCAGCAGAGCAGGTGCAACAGATTGCGTCCAGTCGAGTATTGGGCAGACAGGCCGTTCTGTGGACACGAGCTTGAAGGAGCATCAACGGCACATCCGTCTCGAACATCCAGACAAGTCAGCTGTGGCTGAACACAGCATAGATTTGGGACACCGCATTCAGCCTTTATGTTAAATGGAAGCTCGTATGGTGTAATTTGAGCTGTAAATAAATTCTGATCGTTATAATTCAATATGTGCTCTTAATACCATATCTGACCAAAATCTGATCTTGTTAATCGAAGTTGTTTCCAGTTATAATTCCCTTAAAGAACTGTAAGTTGCTTCGTGTTTTTTAATAATATTACTCTCGTATTATTACAGCATTGATGTCATATTTCATAAAAGGAAACTTCGTTTTCCTTTCGTCAGGTTCTTTGAGAGTGAGAAAGTATCAAGCCATTTGTGACGGTTATAAAAGAATAAAATAAAATGAATTCGTATTTTGGATACTCCTTTACTGGAACGTCTT